TTTTCTAGAAAACTCTTCTCTCTAGGAATGTCATTCTTCAATAAACTTTGGTTTTCTATCAGAGTCTTTGAATTTTAATACATTTGACAGTTAGTACATAAGAAATAAAAGTTATACTGATCCAAATGGGTGCAATATTGTTTTAAGGAAGCTTTTAAAAATAGATACAACCAAAGAAACACAGTGAATCCAAACAAGATTTCGTCTTTGTCTTCAAACTGATGGCCTCTCTGGTTGGACACCTCCCCAAAAATTATAAGGACTGATACCACTAATTATCCTCACTAAACATCAAAGCTAGTATCTTGAAGAGTTCAAACAAATAGTTGGTAAGTATACATTTGGTTATAGAAGAGAAGTGCATTCAGATGAATCCACCATTTAAGAGTAAATTTGTTTTCAGTATTATATTTACGATGTGTTTTCACTGTTTATTTATTTCATTTTCTGAGCCCAGTTCCAATAAATGCTTAACCTTGCAATAAAACCAATACATAATATAATTAGGCTAGAAGGATTACATTATTAAATCAGTAAATGTTGATAAACATCTATTTCATGGTGCACCTACAACCCAAAAAATATTTCAATAGATAATAATCAAAACGTACAGATATACAAAGCAAGAAAAATGATGTTTGACAATCTAGTAGAGTTTGACTTAAGGATATCTACTTCATATATTTTCACATGTGATGTTGATATCTTTTGTTTTAACTGTTATAAAGCTTACATATTTGAATATCAACATTGAATGTCACTTGACTTATCCCCTCCATGAATTTCCCGCAATCATGAACATTTAAACAGCTAAAAATAGTTTAAAATATTCATCAACATTATCTGCCCAAAATGATAAAAAAAATGATTTCTGCAAAGTCTAAATATAAGCAATGGATGAGTGTTTTTAATTGAAAAATATTCCTTCCACGTGTCAGCAAAAACAGAACAGGCATCACAGATTGGTTTAAAAAGTAATATGCTTTCTAAGCGAGGAGCCAGACCATCACCATAACAGAAGACACAGCTGAAG